TCCGCACATTTCCCCTTCTGCCAGAGGTCATTTGGTGCTCTATTGCTCATTACATTGGCCTCCCATGAGATTCTCCTCCAAATCTTTGACAAAATCGCTGTTACGCAACTAAACCTTCACGGATTTGTGTTGCTGATAAATGTGCTCAAGTTACATCCTCTCCTATTTGGATTTAAGAAGGGTTATACAAATTAATCTACAACACTATGTTGGTTTAGTTGTTGGCACATGTTCTTTGTTGAGTGGATATGAGACCTGAAGTGCGCAATCTCAGCTTGAGGTGATCCCGAGCTCTGGTAAACCCTGACCGGGCCACCGCCCAGGATCTGAGCCGGTGCCAGGTGCCACCAGGCCGGGAGCCACATCCGCAACCACAAGGCGTCCAAGATCCAGGCCAGGGGACCACAACATGATGTTAGGATACAAGGAGTCACTGCACACACAGAGAACAGGGAGTTGTCCAGAGTTCTTTGGATATGGTAGTGTCTCTAGATACTAGGTATACAACATCAGAAACTTCACACATTTCACTCTGTTCTACAAAAAATCTCAATTCACCCATAAAAATAAACTACCATTTTTTGCAATCAATCAATTTAGATCATTTAACAAAAGCATACTTAACAATTTTCATTAAGCAAATATTCAATATTGTATCACTAATATAAAGAGATCCATTTAAATAATGAGCTCATGAAGTGTCGGTAGGCGGGTTTGAACTTTGGCTCAAGCTAAGCTAATTGCATCTCAGCTCTACCTCCATAGTTACAGCACAGATAAAAAAAAAAGCATTTGTGCTTAGGGTAAAAGCAAATGAGCATATTTTCCAAAATAATAAATATAAAATATTGAATAGCTCTCACCACATGAATTTTGTGGCACTTTGTCTGGTTGTTTTTGCCTCAGTGTCTGTCCTCTTAACAGAAAAGCAAAGATTTCTCTCCCAGAGGTACATTTCCCTCTAATGATGGAGAACCAGTTTGGGACAATGCACCATTGTGTACAAGCGCTGCGCTGATCCACAGCATGTACGGTTTGACATTTGTGGCATTCCTGCAGTGTTCTACCCCGATTATCCTTATCAATGAGACACAGCCTGATGGAGGAAGATAAGGCTCGTCAGGCACGGGGCCGTTATGAGGACAAATGTTGCCCGCAATTCCAGCATCCCTGTGGAGCCTATTAGAAGGTCATAGATTATGTAAGATAAATGGATCTGGAGACCAAATAGTAGCATATTGTCTCTGGTTTGAAATGTTTCCTGCTTGAGAAATTCTGCTGAAAACATCCTGTCGGTTGTATAATATTGTGTCATGGTCTTATACAACTGTCAGGCATGCAGTGTGTTCATACAGACACAAGCGAAATCTTCTCTCTGCCCTTTAAACAACCATTTTTATTGGAGCTATGGGCATAACCTCCTTACATTATTCTATTTCACTGAATTGAACCTTCTTAAACAAAGAGGCTCCAGCATTGACATATTAACACATATAGAGTTGATATGATGATCTACCTAGTAAATCAGCAGATGCAGCAACATAAGTATTTTTTATGAGTTGTGTCTCTGGCCACACGATGAATATTCACTCTTCTTTGAGCTCTGATTTGGTCTTGTTGAGACCTGATGAGTCTGTGTGAAGCACTTTCACATGAAGTACACAGCAGGAGATTGTCCAAGTCAGACGCTTTCCCAACAGCAAGAAAAGCTTTCAGGTGAGGGGGTGGCGCCCGGGTAAAGCATGCACGAGGCAGGAGATGGCGTATATTGTGCTGTGGACAGCAGATGGACACTGGCGTTGACCCTTACTGCCAAAAGCTCTCGAATCTTGCTATTTTTCCAGTACGGCATCTCTTTTTCATCCTGAGACATTTGTATTCCTCCAGTTTTGCATCGATTGCATGTTTAAAATGGAGCTGGCAGGTAAAGTTCAGGAAAATGTCTGGAGCAACGGAGGGTTCTCACATGCAGCCCCACTGGAAATTTCAGGAAAGTGTCCAGACTTAAGTGCATGTCTGAAAGCAGCTTTAGATTCCTCAATACGAGCAACCACGTTCCTATTCATGCTTTCATGTGATCCTTTGTTTGTGTGTTGATAGAGTAAAATAACTCCAAATAAAGTTTCTCCAGGTGAAACTTGTTTTTACAAGTAAGTAACAAGATCAATAGTTAAGGCAGAAACAATACACTTGATAGAATCAGTTCTAAATAAGTTTGGTTCGAAAAATGTTCACAGGTTTATCTCACTTGACTTTAGGAATGGATTGCTAAAATTGATTTTTTTTGCTCCTTATCTTTCACAATTTACTTTTCAAGAAGGTTCATTACTCCATATGGATCCATTTTCCCCTCTTGTCCTAATCTATAACCCTGTTATCCCCTATCAGTGCCTGTTATCAGCCTTTATTGCTCCACTGATAACCCATTCAAAGGGCGCATTAGCATATCGCCCGTGAAGTGATGTCCGCTGGGCTCGAGCGTTTTGGATCATAAAGCATAAATGTCCCGCTCTAGTGTATTGCACAACCCACGAGGCACCCTGCTTTTGCGAGTGAGGATAGAGAAAAACAAAGTTAATGGGTGACAAACCTCAGTAATGCTATAGGGCACAGCCTCCATTAACCAAAGCCCGATGAAAGCCATCCTGTTGAGGTGAATGTCTTCTGGATCTGGCCATTCTGTGCTAATGAGGTCGCACAAAGGTGTCGGCTATCTGGTTTTATGCATGCATGCTCTTAGCATTGTAAAGGGAAAACTGTTTTCCTGTGCTGTTCAACAGCTACAAATGTTGTAGTGAACACATCTTGAGGAGCTTTATTTTAAGATAGAACTGATGCAGAATTTCCAATAAATATAGTAATTTCCAGCCTAAATGTAAAAAGGCATATCTGAAATAAAAATGTTTAAAGTTTTTTTTGAACCTTTTAAATCTTCACTGGTTACGTATATTTTTACATTTGTAATTAATCCTAGGCAAACACAAGTCAGCATCATCTTATGGTCTTTAAGATGCTTAGGACTCCTCATTGCGCACGGCATGAAGAAACCCAAACAGTTTTGGCAGAAGTCTCTGTAATCTCCCTCCAGGAGCCATCTGGGAATCTCTATGATCATGCATTAATGCGGGGACATAGAGACCTGTTCCCAAGCTCTTGCTTTCAGTTCAGCCATATTGTGCTAACCATGCTGCGCTAGCCAAGTGAAAAGTGCTGGTGAAGTGACCATGCTTAACATGGACCCAAAATTATCCGAGACCCCAGTAAGAGTTAACTTTTCAACAAACTAGACTGCACTTCAATGCTGAAGTTGTGATATTGCGCTTAAAAGAATTAATGTACAAGCATGAAAACAAAATTCTTTGGCTTCCTGTATACTACACATGTGTTTTTAGACCCTGCTGTGAGTTAACCACCTCTAGGGGTTTATTAAAGCTCAGCTTACTTTTTGTACCATTCAGGCCGTTTGGAAACGTTACAGCTCCATCCCAATGTTCAAGGAGTTAGGAGAGGATTGGAGAGGAGGCCAGTCTTTTCCTCTCTGCACTATTATCACGATTAACGGCACTGAGTTTGATCGATTAGTTTTAACATCCAGTGACTGGTACCTGATCAATGATAGACCCAAATGTCACTAAAATTATGATTGTATATTTAATGTAAATATATTTAAAAAAGACTTAGATATAAGCTATTTTGGATTTGCCCAATTCCAGTCAGTCAGCAGGGATGGTTTGTTCCTCTGAGATTCCGGACTATTGGGCTTATAAATCCTACCATCGTTAAACTGCACACAGTCAAGCAGAATGTTGTTCTCTTTTTAACATTGGGTGTTTGCTACTAAAAGCATGTTACATGACTCAGTCGGTGTATTTATCAGGAACTTGAGTTCCACATGAACCGTTTCAGTCTGGTTTGGTTCTGGAGCCTCAGCGAGCGGCTCCGTCCAGTAAAAATAGCCGAGTCTTTGGTCTGCTGCCACTGTGGCTGAGTGCAGCGGCAGTGGGGAGGAACAGCTGTAGTCGCTCTGTCGCCGAGACCAGATCACTCCTTAGCCGTCCCGCCAGTCCTGACCGAGCCGCTCAACATAAGCAACACTTGAGGAACTAGAGTCTGTTTGAGGGCCTGGCTGTAATTTTAACCCACAGTCCTTTTGTGTGTGTGTGTGTGTGTGTGTGTGTGTTTACCTGCACATAAACACACACATTTTTACTGCTCTCTCAGCTGCTGGTCAGGTGTTGGATGGTCGCCACGTCTTGGTCTTTTTACTTTTCGGATCAAATGATTGTGAAATGTGTTTCTCACGATAACAAACAATCATTCATCTCTGCAGTTCTCCTCAGAGTGTTTAAGTGTCTGAAACAAGCACATTTGCATGTATACTTGGAAAAAGAGCTAAAAGCGTGAATTGGAAAAAAATGACTACAGTTAAAGTGAATTTCCTGTGAGTGCCTTGTTTAAAGGTGGCCTCCAGCTGCCTGATGGGTCACTTGGCCCTGCTCCCAGAACAGTTTGTAAAGGAAGGATTAGGCTGTGTTAATTGGATAGATGGTCCAAAAAGATTAGGCGCACCAAGGAGCATTTCTTCACCCCCTCAGCCCGACACGGTCAGTGAATAATGGAGTCCTTGACTGTAAAAACAAGGTGCAGGAACACTGTGTTAATGTGCTGACAGAGCAGCAGGCTCAGGTGGAGTTAGTGTGGTGGAGAGGTCTGACCTGAGCACAGCCACAAGGTGCTTAATGAAAAGATGACTCTTTTAAAACTTTTATTATAACGAAAAAGAAGGCTTTATTACTTTCTAAATCATGTTCAGAACATTGTGTGGAACGTAAATTCCTTCTCCCGTTACCTGACCTGAGACCCCATCCCCTTAAACAAAAACGAATTTTCCCACACATGACCGTAACAGTCAGTTTACATTCTTCGCAAATCTTGCAGGTTGGTAACCCAAACAATCCCACTATCTGATGGTTTTCGTTTCCATGTCTGTCTCGACGCAGATCCTTCAAGCCAGACTTTGTCCTGATTCGCCAGCACGCCTACAGCATGGTCCCCGGCGAGGACTTCAGGAACCTTGTGATCGGCCTGCATTTCGGCGGCGTCCCGAGCATCAACTCCCTCTTCTCCATCTACAACTTCTGCAGCAAACCTTGGGTGGTAAGCGCTTTTTAACAGCTCTCACTGCTCTACTTCAACCCACACAAAGGTGATACGAATCCCTCCCTCTGCGACTGCCTCTGACAGATTTATTTGGGCTATTAAAGGGAGCTGTAACACCTGTCTGTGGCGCAGGCATCCTCCACCGCCACCACCACCACTTCACATTATTATTCGCCCTGTAGTGAGAGAAAACAAGAAACAAGACTGCTGTGAAAAGTGCTGGGCTCTGCATGGGCTCATAATGGTCTTGTCTCCTACAGTTTAAGGTTCGAGTGTTATTTTCAAGAGACTAAACACACGCATTTTCTCTGTCACCTACTTTTCAAAGCACAATGTACATCATTGTCGAGCTGTCATTGCACGTTGCACAATACAGACATCGTAAAACAGGCAGACACACTTCTGCACCCAATGTGGCGATGTGACAATTTCTCAGAACACAGTGCCGCTACAGGGTCAAGCTAACCTCACACCTGTTATATCAACTCGCTGTTAGATGCAACCAGTTCAAAACCATTCACTAAAGCAGGTGAGGCCACTAACAGGAAGTAGGAGATTATACCACCTTAATGTTAAATTCATTCTAAAATCATTTGCTTCTGAGAATATGTAAATAGATGTTCCTTTAGTCGTCAGTCAGAGTTGGTCTATTGGTACTGGATCAGATTTTATAATGTCATATATAATGTAAAATGTTGCTAAGACTCCATTATGAAGTTATAGATTATAGATATAGTTATAGATACTAGTAATATATGTTTTATTCCTCTGACAAAACCCTGCACTTGCAATAGGCCCTTCTTTTGCTTAGAATTACTCTGCTTCATCTCTTCTCCTCACTCTGAGGTGCTTCTGTGCACGCATGAAACATCTGCACTTAGCTTTTGTCTTCTGCACTTGGGGTCTGTCAAAATTCACAAACCAAAAGAATGCCAGTTGTGGTGATGACAAATTAAGTTGTCCCACCCTCGTATTTGAGTGTGAGTGGAAAGATTTAAATAAGAGTGCAGCTCTCAAACTTAAAGACAAAGCTCTTAGTAAATGCAGAAAAGAAAACCCGCAGACGTATACATGTCTACATTATGCTTTTAAGTCAGAATACTCCCCATGTCGTAATTCCATTTGTGCTTATTTTTGAGTATGTTATCATGTCTACCATTTATTCAGTCAAAACACCTCATGCTATCCTATTCCCAGATGAATTGCTGTGGTTATAAATGTGAGTGAACACAGGTGTAACCCCTAAAAGCTTCCGTCTAACCTCGGCTGTCCTCCACTGCCGACGTGACATCTGACTGCCTTTGTTTATTTCTGTTTGCAGTTTTCTCAGATGATTAAGCTCTACCACTCCCTGGGTCCCGAGAAATTCCCCCTGAATGAACAAACCTTCTATCCCAACCACACGCAGATGGTGAGTGCCTCACAGATATTATCCTTCACTCGAACAGCACAGAGAACAAACAAAAACAATCCACCAGACTTCCCGAGGCCCATTTTTCATTAAATCTTTATTATAAAAATATAAAACACAGAAATTAAGTCAAACATTTCTATAACCCCTACAAGGAAACGCCCCCCACCCACACTTCAGGAATCAGTGTTTACAAACAAACTGTACACAGCTTCCGTGATTTGAGGGTTGTTTTTTTTTAAGGATCAGACTTGACCGAGTGTTTCTGTGTTAAGCAGACAGTATATTTACACAAACAAGAACCACAGAAATAGCGACACAGAAACGCCACAGTGGGAGAAACAGCCTAAACACCATATTAAGTAACTGCATTGTGTAATGATGTAAAGCGTTTTCCCTCAAAGGTGAACTCTTTTCTTTCCTTGGGACGTCTCAAAGACAAAACAACTCTCTGTTGCATGTTGTACAAGCTGACAAAAACCAAAGAAAACAGGTTTATTTGCTCCTTTAGCAAAAAGAGGCTGTTAGGTGGAGGAGAATAAGTTTGAGAGATATTTTGTCAGAGCTCAATATTTAAATTGCCAAATCAAAAAAGGTAGATGATGTAACTCAATCAGATATTTTACATTCATTTATATCAACCTAACAGGCCAGTATTGGATTTTTATTTATTATCAGATACAAGTCAATCTTCCTCCTCTAGTTTCCTGTGATGGTCTTTTGTACACTCGAAACAATGGATGGAACATTCTTGTCAAGATGGAATGGATATGAATACATTTAACTCTTAAAGGACTGGTTGTAGACATTATGAGAAATCCACTTATTCGCTCAGATGAGAAGATTGATACCACCCTCATATTTGTCTGATAGATCTGGAGCTACAAGCCTGCAGCTAGCTTGGCTTTCTTCAAATTGTAAAAATAAAACCCTTAAGCACCTTTAAAGCTGATTCATTCTTTACAAAACTGCTAAAAAAAGCATTGCATCGCAGTGCTAGCTGCAAAATTGTCCTGCACGTAATTCTGTCTCATATCTTAACATTTATGCGTTGGAATTTACACGAATTAAATCAAGTCAATTATAGTGTGATGATAAGCAAGCTTTAAAGATGCTACTGGACAAATATTCAGATATTATCACTGTTGAACAGAAACAGGCTCATGCTTTCCTTTTCTTTATACTGCTGTAAGCTAAGCTAACCAAAGCCAACATGAGTGTGGTATCCATCATGATGAACAGGTTGTTAATCCCTTTGAGGCAGATCTGTGGTAATGGAATGGACTGAAGGTACTGCACGGGAAAAAATAGGGATAACTCTCCAGATGAGGACAGATGAAGAACGAAATTTAGAGACA